TCTCTCTACTGCCCCTTGCCAGTCTGGTTGACTGTAAAAGATGCAGAAGGTCACAGATCCTTCACCAAGTGGCAAATGAAACATGCATCAGCAGGAGCACATGACAAGATGCATAAGCACATGCACAGAGTGTGACTGTAGTGACATTCATACAGTGAACCATGTTGCTTCACAGGACCCAATGCGTCATACTTTCCAAGAAGTAATCTGTTTCCAGTAAGGATGATATTTCACTTTAGAAGTGTGTATTTATAAATTAAATTAAAATAAAAAAATGTATATATTTATTTTGCATTATAATTTCCATGGAATAAATTATTTCAATTATGAAAATATACTACAAGTTTAGGATCAGTGATATTTTTTGGAAAGAGATTATTACTTTAATTCAGCAACAGTGCATTAAACTGATCAAAAGTAATATTACAAAAGGTTTATAATTTCAGACACATGATCTTTTGAACTTTTTATTCTTCAAATAATCATGATAAAATATATCACGGTTCCAAAAAAAAAAAAAAAAGCAGTACAGCTTAGGGCTTGGTTTTTACACAAATTTCACGATTCGATTCGATTCTCATTCACAAGCTTGCGATTCGATTCGATTACCGATTCGATTCGATTCAATATTTATTAATTTGGATATATATCAGGTACAGTACATACCAAATTTTCTACGCAACTAATGCTGTAAAATATACATGAGAGTCAGTTGGTACTACATTACTATAATACTGAAGGTTAAAATTGACTGATTTGTTAAAATTACACTTAATGAAGTTTTTAAAATAATAAAGTTACAATTACATAATATTTCTACTTCAATTCGTTTTTTTAATATAAACATAATGAAACTTGATGGATGTATTCAAACAAATTAAACATTGAAGAACAGTAAACTGTATAATGAATATGTTATATGGTGCATATATTTAGCAAAATACCCCTCTCTACAGTTTATTTTTCTATCTGACTAATGAGTTTATGGTTCCCAAATATGTTTTTTCCTGAGGTAAATGTGACATTATGTGACATTGTTTACAAGCTGTTATATTGACGTCTTTGCAGGACTGAAACACTGATTGAGCGATTACATGAGACAGGATACGGATTGTAAAGTTGTACTCTTTCTTTTAACTTACCTTCGGATGTTTAGTCATGTTTATTTTGTGCTGAAACTGGTATTAATGTGGAGGAGATGATCAGTTCACGTGCGACTCGCGCTGTGCGTCTGTTGAACTGAGGCGCTACAGCGATCTGTTGCCAACTCTTGCAAGATAAATAAGCAACCGCAGCTTAAAAAACAAGCCCAAAACAAGCCCAATATTTTTTTTGATGATTTATTATCAGCAATATTATTTATTATCAATTATTTATTACCAATAAATGAACCTGCAACATATTAAACTGAAAACACTCTTTTATCTGAAAAGCAAAAACAGATATGTTATTTTACAAAAATCAGCAAACTGCAACAAAGTGAGAACAAAAAACTAATCTCCAATCACCTGTGAGCAGAATAGGATTGGAGAGATGGAAAAGGAGAAAAACACAAGAGCTTCAAAGGGGAACTGTAATAGCCACATATTTATAGCCTACTAAAATATAGGCTATTCGAACCAAATGTATAGTATAGGCTATATAGTTTTAGTATAGGACTACTTGTTTTTTATTACAGCCCATGATAATTAATACATTACAAAAACATTGTAAAAATTAGGCTAAAAGAAAGTCATCCCACTCCTCTACGTCTACTTCTGTCATCGCTTGGATTACAGCGTCACGCGCCTTCGCCAAAACGGCATTTATTGTTTGAATACTGCCAGAATTTGAAATCTGAGACTTTGTTTCATATTAAAAGTACCATGGATGGGTACATATACTGGATGGGAAGTGCCCTTCAATGTTCCTTCCATTAACTGACAACAGGCTATACTAATCGATTCTTGGGATTTAAAGGGGTCATATGATGCGATTTCAATTTTTCCTTTCTCTTTGGAGGGTTACAAGCTCTTGGTGCATAAAGAAGATCTGTAAAGTTGCAAAGACTAAAGTCTCAAATCCAAAGAGATATT